TGTAAATGGCTGCAGTAGAACTCCGTCTCAGTCTCTGTCTTCAGTGACTTTCTCAGAGTGTGGCTGACTGAATGGCAGATCCTTGATGGAGCTGGAGAGTGACTGATGGATTAAACCACCCAGCTCTCACTCACTCTCTCTCACCTGATAGTGAACCTCTACCCCACCGCCTACACAAGAGCTCTTCGCTGCTCGCCAGTGAACACAGCATTGACCCGAGACAGCTCTAATCTGTTCTGAATGAATGGACGAGGATGGTGATAAGTGGTTTTTGCAACACAACACTTGTTCCTTTTTCTCTTCTCTGGCTCAGAGACGAGCCTCTCACACACACTCAGCATCGGAGAGGCAAAGCCCCGTGCTGCATGTTGATGATTGTTTATTGTATTCAAATGTTGCAGCACAGAAGGGGTTCTGCTGTTTGCCCTCACCATGGAAATGAAATACCCTTAATGAGAATCCTTTGTCCCTCACCCTGGCCTTGTATTATTGTATAATTTATTTGGCTAACCCAGGACAAAGACAGCATTTTTATATCTTTGTCTCTTCCCTCACTACATAGGAGTAAGTTTGCAGTCACAGCTTACAACTCTAGAAACTAATGCAGTAATAAACTTTTAAACCGTTACGCTACTGAGCCCTTCGTTTTCCTCTGCTCTGTGTAGCAGCCCAAGCAGAACAGTAGGAAGAAACGCTGATAATGGAATATCCGAGAAATGTTCAGGCATTTAAAACCATAAACACACAGATAAGGACACGGATTTTGCTGACTAAAAGAGCAACAGTGAGATAAATGTAAGATCAGATGTTAGCAAAGATCTTTATCAAAAACAGAACTCTTTTGGTCGGTCTGGTGTTCAGAAGATACAGTAGATAAGATAACAGCTGCTGTTTGTAACTGTATTTGTAATAAATATAGATGTGAAACGTTACACAAGTTTTAAAAATACATTTACAACTCTCAGGTTACAGGCAAGTTACAAATGGTAATTACAATAAGAAATGTTAATTAATGACGCTTTGTGCTGCACTCAACCAGACCCTTGTTAGGTGCAAAGGTCAACTGTTTTATTTGTATTTAATGGATTCGTTCTTTGTATTCATGTTGTTGTATACTCTATAGTGACTGTATCTGAGGCGTTCGACCTGCCAAGCTTTGTTAATTAATCCTCATTACACTTTCCCAAACTCCCAACCTTGATTTGTATTTGCAGTAATTGGCTGAGAAAAATGACCTTTCTTTATGTAGATGTGTTCACACTGTGACTGTCGTGCTAAAGTTAGCACTCTCTGGAACAGCAACACTTTCTAACACACGAACACAAAAAGCAGGCAATAACTGAGACGTGTTTTTTAAAAATCGCCCATTAGAGTTTTTTGTGTTTGCTGCCTCACTGAAGCTAAAAATGGAATGAATATTTTAAAACAGCGCACATACAGTAGAGTATGTGTGCGTGTGCCTGTGTCTCTCTGTGCTATAAGAAGGCATCTGCGTAAACAACGTTCTGTGTAGTCTTAATTTTTTTTAGCGAGTAACTGCAGAGCAAGTTTAACTTTCGGGCGCAGAGTAAAAGTGTGGGTGGAGGAGAAGAGAGCAGCGGTTGTACTGTAAATGTGTTTGTGCTCATGTGTGAAGGAGACATCTGCTCCTGCTTTGATTAGATTTGTATCTGAACCAATGACAACATTGGTGAGAAATGATTGTTGTTTCGGCTCTGACTCCAGCCACTCAAGCATTAAAGGATGTAAGCAGTTTTGTTTTAGTGTTGGAAATGATCAGAGATACTCACACAGACACTTTTGACTGAAAAACATTCTAAACAGACTGGGTGGTAATGAATTGGTTACCTGGCAACACAAGGTAAAACAGATAACCATTTTAAAAGATTAACTGACTTAATAAAGAGCGTCAACAGTTAACAGCGAAGCTTGCTTAGACTGTGATTGTTTGTTTTGTTCTTTAGAGACTGCCATCAGAGAGTGGCTGATAAAGCTCAGTGTATATGGTGCTTAATGAATAGCTAATGTGATCCAGGATGACGGTAAATGCAGGGGCTCTTTTTTTAAATGTTAATGTATTTGTCCCAGTCAAAGGTTCTAAAACAAGTTCACTCACTGAGATGTAGTTAAAACGATTTTAATTATCCAAAATTGAATATCAAATATTTAAAGCATCACCACTGCTGAGTTTGGAAACAAATTTCACTTTCAGTGATGCCTCCACTTTGTGTAGGGGAAAATACTTTACAAAGACACTACAGCAGTGACACACTTCATCTTTTTATCATATGTAATGTAAGAAGAGTAATGTGACTAGTTTTCTACAAGGATTAAGATGAGTTAAGGAGGGCAGTCTCTGAACCAGCTACTCTGATCTAGAGTAGGGCTTTCCAAAGTGTGGTGTGTGTACCCGTAGAGGGACATGGGCTGCCGTTAAGGAAGAGATAAAAATTTGATGGTGGTTTGCGGGGGGAAGCAGGGAGGTTTGAAGTGTGATTTTCCCACACAATAAAGATGTGTAAATGAAAATGTGTAAAAATTTAAATCATAAATTAATTCAGCCTACACCTGTCTCTGTGTGTGTGTGTTATAGGTGTATTCTGGTCTTTTGAGCATGATAAAACATGTTGCTTTATAGGAAACCATTTTTTTCTTTGTTGTTTAAAATGTAGAAAATTGGGGTTGAATCAACACGGCCGGGATACAGAAGCAGATGCGCAGCCAAAAATGTAGGGAAGTGCTGATCTAGAGAGTTTAAACTCTCAGTACAAACGTTTTCCTTACTCAACACTATCTCCATCAAAGTCTACAGTTCTGTTTTTTTCTCTAAAATCAAGAAACGACTGCAGTGAACATGTGCGATGTCTGCGTTGAGTTTATCTCTGCACATCCTGGCTCGAGTCACTGAGCTGCTGAGACAGACTGGTTTGCTGCAGTGGGAAAGGTCCTGGACATTTATGAAGACGTGAACGTACTCTGGGTTAATTCAAGTCGAAAAACAATACAGGTGTCTTGGTTTAAACCATATTTTCAACATTAGGAAAGAAGGTACACATGCAGGTATAAGTACATGTAGTACTGCATGTAAACATGCAGACTTTGTTCTTGTAGAATAACCAAACAGATGCGCTGGGAGAGAAAGAGAGAGAATCCTATCCTTTATATTTAGCCAATCCACCGAGCCTCCAACCCTACCAGCCCTGACCTACATCACAGCATGAATAAAGAATCTGACATAAAAAGTCAGCTCAGGAGGGAGTGTGTGAGAGACTGTGTGAGTCTGGGGAAAAGGAAGAAACAGAGCAAGCAAGAGACAGAGAGACACAAAGAGAGAGAGAGGGACCGAAATCCCTGAAAAACGAATTCCCCCGTGTGAAATGACAGTTCCAGTTGTGTCAGCAGAGCTCACCTGCCATGACTCACCCACAAGTAGCTGCGGAGGGACACACAGACACACACGTACCTGCACACGTGCCCAAGTGCAGTCCAGATCCACTTTTGAGAACCTCAAACCCACTGAGATCAGGAACAGTCAACGTGCTTGAGGCCTGACAGCAAAAGCTTTTACTCCAGTAAATGGATGCTGACAAAGGCAGTGAGCTCTTGATTTTAAATTATTGAGACTGGGCATCTGTAACATCACAGCACGGCCATCATCATGCGCTTGCTTCAGCACTTTTTTTCCAATAAAGCTTAATCAAATGATCAGCTTTCAGGGACAGCAGTGCTTCAGGACAGCATGGAAATTTTATGCAGGTATTGCTTTCCAGTCTCCAAAACTCTAATAAGTCTAAGTTTGTTTTCTGATAACGCAGACAAATGACTTTGAGGTAGAAGGCCAGTGGAACTTTATATATCACTAAACACATTTTTCTTCGATTGTGCAATTCAACACACTTACTCTCCGCTCAGCAACGATGAAATTTGCCCAGAGAACCTCTGGGTGTTGCATGTAAGTCAATTACATACTTCATACAAATGTATTCCATTGTATAAAAGAGCAGGAAACTTCAGAGCTGTAATGTATTTACCCAAGGAGAGAATATGGAAATGTGCTCCTCACGCTCGTTCTTTGGTTCCTAATGTTGCGTGTAGAGTCCCCGAGGTGAGGAACGCCTGGTGGCCGAAGGGAACTGCTTCTCTTTTGACCACATTCATTTGAATACACTGCGTTGTGTGCGCACACACACAGAAAGAGCTTCACTCTACACACCCAGAAATGTGTTCTCCTTCGGCGGAACATCTCCCTCATGTCTTTCCAGTCCAATTTAATCATGCGTCGGTCTCTCTGTGCTAATGCCTGCCTCAGCTCCATGTGTCCATGCTAATGCAGTGTCTTTTCAGCCACATCAGGGACAAGGACAAGGTAAATGTGTTCATCAGGAAAGGATGTGATATGTCATGATACGTGCAGAACATCACAACAGTCGAATACATGTAGTCTTCTCTCTCTCTCTCTCTCTCTTTCTCTCTTTCTCTCTCTCTCTCTCTCTCTCTCTCTTTTTTTTTCTGTCACTTTCAGTTTATGTGCCCTTATCATTTTTTAAATTATTTTCCCTTTTTTTCTTTCTTTCTTTTTTCTCACCTAGTTTTTTTGCGCAGTGCAGCGTTCTAATTTTTTTTCCACAATGTGCTGAGGATTTGAACCGTCTTTAAATAATGGCACAGGGGATGGAATTAAAATGTGATGGTCGTCTAGATGTGCTTCAGCATTAAACATTTGCTGACCTTGTGAGACCTGGGAGTGTGTTGACAGAATCTCCTTACTGAAGATTCTTCTGCTGTCCGGAATGTTAAAATAACTGCGAGCAACATTCCCATTGCCCTGACACCTGGCTTTTTAATAATGTGGTTGAAGCAACAGTGTTGATTCAGTTCAATGAGCTCAGTCCACCTGCTTCATCAGTTGCCTGAGAAGGTGCTGTGTTTGCCCTGCGTGTCTTTTTGAGACAACTGTCGGGGAGTCACTAATCCTTCCTATCTGCTCTGTTTGTCCTCAGATATTGATGAGTGTGCAACCCAAATGCATTACTGCCAGTCCAACACAGTGTGTGTCAACTTGCCAGGCAGCCATCTCTGCGACTGCCTGCCAGGATTCGTCAGAGTGGACGAGTACTCCTGCACTGGTATGTAGCCCTGAATACAAATGCATCTCTGAACTTTTTTTCCCTACTTCAGATTTAACTTCTGAATAACTTGTGGACATCACCGCTCCACTTTTACTGCTTTTATTTTGAAATGTCAAACCTAAGTTAGATTACACAGGAAACCTGACAAAACATATCCGAAAATATGTCAAAAAAACTGTTTCACTCTAAACTGTTAAAACACATTTTATACAAATGTGACAAGATTTTTCACAGTCTCACAACTCAGTGCTTTGTTGGGTGAGCTACGATATGTTTTATTTGATAGTTGATCATTTTAAAACCCTAAAAAATAAAAATCAGAGCAAACATTGACCTTTTATCTAAACCTAAATAAAAACCTGGAATGAAAATGATGGAAGCTGGAACAGGGTTTGATTCAGGTCCATCTGATTTGTCTCTATTCTCCGCTGAACTAAAGGAGCACAGATGCAGGTTCTGACCTGGTGTTGAAGACCTCCTCTAGAAAGAAGCAATTCACTGATGAAGACACAGACTGTAAAGGTCTGAGCCAAATGAACTAAATGAAGGATATCGAGAGAAGTATCTTCTTTATTTACATTAATTATTATTTTAGATTTTTCCTTTTTTAAAGATTATTTTTCTCTTGATGCTTTTTCTTCTCTTGGAGTTAAGGGTAGAGAGCTGAGGTTGAGATGGTTTGGATATGAGGACAGAAAGTGAACGGTGAATAAATTAGACATAAATTAGATGGAGTTGACAGACAGGGAAGAGGAAGACCTCAGAGGAGATTTGTGGATGTAGTAAAAGAACAGGTCGAGGAAGTAGAAGATAGGATGAGATGGAAGCAGATGACCCGCTGGGGTGACCCCTGCAGGGAATAGCTGAATCTTTCAAAATACCTCTGTTTATTTTTTTAGTTAGCCGACCGGTTACATATTTTAAATTAAACCATACATGACCTCAACGTGTCTTTCTAAGTTTTATTTTTAATCTTTTTGGCAAATGGTGAGATTAGTTTTTACCAGTAAAAAATACTAGATGAAGTTAGGGCCATGAAACTCCAAAGTCTGCCAGCTGGCAGTTAAACAAATGAAGAGTTGGATGTATGAATTTGGATTGGCTACTTGGTAAATGTTATTGCCAAGTGTAGAGAGATGTCCACATGGTTCAGATGTGTGATTGAAAGGGACAGTAGATATAAAGGGCAAAGAATGTTGGAGACGCAGCTGCCAGAGTCTTAGACATAGTGAAGGAGGACATGGAGATGGTTGGTGCAACAGCAGGGGAGACAGGAGAGAGGGGGAGACACGAAAACATTTATTATTTTTCAACCATCAGGATGTGTGTGGTTTTTCTCAGCAGTGAATTTTGATGTGGTCGGTTGCCGAGCAGTAATTCTCCAGAGAAATGTTCTTTAATTAGCTCAGCGTTGGCAGCCACACAGGGACAAGGATCCGTGGACAATCAATCTATTTTGCAGCTTGTAAACTGTCCTGGCTGCTGCCTGTGAGCCCGTAGAGTGCTCTCTACATCTGCTGGGAAAGATAAATCCTCTCTCTGTCTGCTCTCCCTTCTCCCCACTTCTCCTTCAGCTCCTGCTTACAGCTTTGCTGGAGTCCTCTCCATGAATGTACAAGCAGTGTTCATGGCTCAGAGGGTTGACTGCTCATATTTCACAACACCAATGTGATTGCCCATGAGCTCCCTGTAATTGGCACATTGTGCTTAAGTCTGCGTTGTTTTCCTTATTGTCTCCATGGATTAGGAAAGGGGGGTTTTGATAAGTGTATTGTTGTCACTGCAACGGGCCGGACACACAGGCACAGTGGGAGAGCATTGGGTGATAAAGACTGAGCAATTTGTTAACAGTCTATTGAGCAAATTAAAAAAAGATGCTTTTTATTTTAGAGAAAAAGTAAATTGTAGGTGAAACTAGCTTTGATAACATGTTTCATAAATAAAAAGGTCATTACAACCGGTATGATGTACAAAATTAAGGTAAAGTGTCCAAAGTCTGGCTCCGGGGCCATGCATGGCACTTGATGTTATGCTGCACCCTATTTTATTTTATGACCTGCTTCTACTTAATGGGCATTGTTTTCTAACAACCTTGTGGGGTGTTCTTGAGGTAACTCATGGCTAATGAAGCAAATTGTTTTTTGACAACTAGTGTTGCTATTTTTTAGTTTTCAGTTATTTGTGAGTATTTCTGCGTTGCCTTTTTTTTTTGCCTTTTTGTTGGGTTTTGGGCTAATATTTGGCTGTATTTTCTATAGTTTTGCACTTTTTGGCTAACAGTCTACAACATCAAACTATACTAAAGCCTAAAGGCCTCTGTTAGCTTACCAGAGCATTTATAAACCTGAAACATGGCCTTAAATCAGCAGTTCTATGCAACTAAATTGTTGGGACATACATATTGTATATATAAAGTTGTACTAGGGCTGCATAGTTACCGTATTTCCTGGACTATAAGTCACACTTTTTTTTATCCTTTGGCTGGGTTTGTGACTTATATGTTAAAATATATATAATTTCACATGTTTATTTTCACACTAACTCTTGGCACTCTTGGCTTGTGTGCCATTGTCTGCTACTCCTGTACCACTGACAAATTACATGTTCCTTATTTTCACACTGACAGCCACTTGATGTCACTTGTGCGACTTGTATTCCGGAGCGACTTATAGGCCAGAAAATACAGAAATCTAATTTTAATCAATCACACATTTGGCTGCTCTGATTAAATGAAGATGATTGTTGCGATATTAATATTTAAAAAGTAGAATCTGCTGCATACAACATTAAGCACTTTCTACACCAATGGTTAGCCAACCACCAGTGGGCGAGCGAAAAAAAATTATGAAGTGAGCGCGCCCTGCAGTGAGCGCGCCCTGCAATGAGCGCGCCCTGCAGTGAGTGGCACTCAGGGGCCTCAAATTGTTCAGTAGCAAATCTGAGGAATGTCACAGCATTTGGAGTGAGGAGAAGCTGGTACCTTGAAGGGGATCACAATCTATTGTCTGGAGGTTTTTTGGACTCAGATGGAATGATGCTGAAAAAAAATAAATGATGTGCAAATAGTGTAGTAGAATTGTGTCTGCCCACAGGGTAACACAGTTAACTTATTCAACCAAGTGAAAGAACTCCACAAACCACAAAAAAATTGGACCAGAAATATGTGAACCCCTCACACAATTAGTTCTCCAAAACTCTCGCCTGACCTCAAAGCTACGCAGTTTCCTCAACAGGAATTGACATTGCTGTGCCTTCTTGCAAATAGTAAATGGCATATTTATATTTCATTAGCCTTTTGTCTGAACTGAAAGCCTTGTTCATATAAGCGCTATAGAACATGTTTACCTAACAGAATGTCTTTTTTTTCAATATTGATAAATAATCATGGCCATAATCGTGCATCACCCTGTTGGTAGTTCTCCTAAATGCAGCTGTAGACACTGCTCGTAGGGCAGGACGTGTGTTTCTCAATGGGCTGTCGTGAACACTGCACATTTTCTGATTCTTTGTTAAAGCTCATAGTTTTGAGCACACAGTTCCCCAACAATGCGGACCCCCCACAGTCAACACATTTACTCTCAATATGACAATTCCAGCAGGTTCTTTTTAGAATATGATATTTATGCTCATCATGTTCCACCTTTTCCTTTAGACACACTCACCCATCTTCCTTTCGCCTTCTCTCACGCCTTCGTTCTCTCTCGTGTCCCCCCTGCCAGCGGGAGGACGCTGTCTTTTGTGAAGACCTTGCGCTGTAAACAACGGGAGGTTTAGATAATTGTGGTTCCACTTGATTTCACTTGTGATGAAACAGGCAAGTTCCTCCTGGGGGAAGAGAAATAAACTGATAGGTGACAGCAGAACAGGGCTGAGTCTCTGTTCTATATCTGCTCATCTCACCACCGAGCTGATGTTCAGAATATTCTCAATACTGTATACTGTAACCACGGAGGTTCTGTATTTACCATTGCTCTACTGAAGTAATAAAGAACACCTTATAGTTTGTTATACTTAGGATTTATGTAGCTAAAATAAACCAAAACATGGCTTACATTACTTGCTGTACCCTCAGTTTCTAATATGACTGTACCACCTGCATGATGACGCTATATGGTGTAATATAAAATAGTCCTTATGGATTTACAATTTTATTACAGGCATTGGAGAATGTATAAAGTTTTATTTCGTCAGACATGTAATATTGGAAAGCTGTAAAAGAGAGAAGTATTGGTTCTAGATAGATCTATCTGTCTATCTGTCTGTCTATCTATCTGTCTGTCTGTCTGTCTGTCTATCTATCTGTCTGTCTGTCTGTCTGTCTATCTATCTGTCTGTCTGTCTGTCTGTCTATCTATCTGTCTGTCTGTCTGTCTGTCTATCTATCTGTCTGTCTGTCTGTCTGTCTATCTGTCTATCTATCTATCTATCTATCTATCTATCTGTGTGTATATTCTATTCTAGTCTATTCTCAGACTTTTCTCTGAAGCTCATTTGATTTTTAAAATTCTACTCCTGTAGATACAGTTCATCACCTTTCTCTTTTTTATGACTGACTTCATCATTTGCTGATAATCTGAAAATGAACAAAAGGCTGCCGGGTGTTGATTAGAATTTTTATCACAAGCAATTTTATATATAATCCACACTAAATTGCTGTTCCATCCCAATGATTTGTAATTTAGGCTTTGTGGGAGTTTTTTTTAGTTCTGATGTTGGCTGTTTTTCTAACCCAGTATACTGTTGCTGTCCCTTCTTCCACACACCTTTACAGAGGTCTAGAGAAGGCTGATTAGTCAGTCTGGTCAGCTGTGACTCCTGTAATGTTTCTTTAGCTGGCATAAACAGCCAGTGTAGGTGACTGTTGATGAATCTATTCATCTACATTCACCTGAGCCACGCCGATCAATACCTGAATTGGTTATTGCCCCATCAATGTGCTGTTCTTCCAGCTGTACTGTGCTCCTGTTCATTTCATGCTTCAAATGCTGCAAATATAC